GTCCAATGCAAAAGTATCATATGTTTGTGTTTCGAATTTGAGGAATGGTAATAAGTTCCGGTTATTGACTCACTTTAGCCATGTGTGAACACTAAATAAGAAACTTAAAGAGAGCAATTTAGTCCAGAGAATTTACAATTCCAAGAGAAAAAAAAACTGCTAAATTGCTCAGACTACTAGTGGAAAAAATGCTCTAAAGTTATGGGAAAAACAATTACAAGGAAATTTTAAAGGAATGGCCGACACTTTAATCAAGGGAGAGCGAAATCTTACCCGCGGTGAATTGGATATGGAGGATTTCTCGCAGAACGTTCTTTATTATTGCAGCTTGTACTTTTACTTGGCAGTAATCCTCCTGTTCGTTGGATATATCTCAGTAAGAGCTCAAATTTCGTTAATTGAAGGGAACATCTATTTAAAATACTGAACGCTATTCAGAATGCTCTTTTATTCACACTATGTGAACGTCGGATTCATCGTATTCGAAAAAGATATCTGAGAGCAGTGATGCGTCAGGATATGGCCTGGTTTGATACTCAAGAAATTGGAGCTTTAACGAGTAGAATGAGCAGGTTAAAATGAATTTCTGCAGTTGGTACTGATCGAAAAAAGTTCTCAGTAAATGTCTGATTCCAGCGGAGTGGAAAAATTAAAGGATGGAATTGGTGACAAAATGGGACTGCTCTTCTCAGCATTGGGATCATTTGTTAGCGGCATAGGACTCGGATTCTACTTAAGGTAGGTCGAGATAGACATTTGTTTTGGTTTTTGGGGAAAAAAGGAAACAGCAGTCAGAGCTTGAGCCATCAGTAAAAATTGAAGAAGTCAAGAAGTTCGAAAGATAAATCAATTTATTTATTCATAATTTTGTTTTGGAAAAGCTCCACAGCATCTTCAAACCCTTTTTCCTTTCCTACTTTAATCAATCAATTGAACAATCATTTTCTCTTGAGAAGCCATTGTAAACCGCTTTATCCTAGAGTTTCGAAATGTTTCATTACTATCACTATGTTATTATCAACATCATCAAAATTTCCTGCTTGGCAAAAGAGTTCAATTGGTAAAAACTTTCAAGAAAATTCCAATATTAAATGTCAAACACCGAAATTGTCCCAACTCAATTTTTTGCTTTTTTTCCTCAAGCTGCCTTCTTTTCATAATGTAAAAATCATTTGATAGCTTAAGCTAAGAGTTGAATTTTTCAGTTGGAAGATGACGTTGGTGATGATGTTTACGGTACCGGTGCTTCTTGGGGCCATGTTCGTCTCGGCAAAGGTGGGTCAGTGCGACTGCAGCAAATAGAGGAAACTTTCTTACAAATAGAAATATCTAAATAGAATCAATAAACCACAGGGTCATACTTCAATAATTTCAATAAGAGATGTCTGAAAACTAATAAACCTATCCTTATGTTCTGAGCTTTATTGAAGCCTCACAATAAACTGGAATATTTCCAGATGATTTCAAGAGCGTCGAAGTCTGAAACCTACGCGTATTCAACGGCTGGTGGCTTAGCCAATGAGGTTATAGCCGGAATTCGCACTGTTATGGCGTTTAATGCCCAACCAGCAGAGATTCATCGGTGAACATTTATTATACATTAAGTGCATCCTTAAAACTCCCTAGCTTATTTTTTTTACAAAATTTAGCGTTTCGTTCATTTTTTTTCACTGTGAGCTCCAAGTTTTAAAGACACGTACTGGAAATGTACACTATATGTAATACACTTTCCGTTCCTATTGCGTATGAATGGAGTGATAATGTTGATTGTTTGGTAGAGGAACAAATATGTGTTGCGAAGTAGTCTAGTCGTTTCAAATCTACTGCCAGGTTGCAGACCCTCAGTTACAGCAGCCATTTTAACATCAACCCAAGTAATTTTGGACGGCTTGAACTTTTGACCATTTCATCCATTAATTCACCAACATTCGAAGACGAACCTATTTCGGTGCAGTAGGCAAAAAATACGACAGGTGGCTAAGTACTGAAGTACCGAGGGAGATTCAACAGAACCATTTGAAAAAAAACTCATTTACGTAATCCGATGCTTCAAAAAGTTAAACAGATGTAGCCCTAAAATTTCGATGAGGGAAAAGCCAAAAAGGTCCAATTTCGTATAACTTTTTGTAAGAAAATGGGCAAACATGGTATTTATGAATTCTTGTCAGCAGGAATCAAACTCAATCAAAATAAAGAGTATCTGTAGCTGATTACATTGAAAGGGCTCATTTTGAATCGTTATTCAAGATCATTTACTATTTTCGTTGTCATAAAGCTCGATCGAATACTGCAGGATTGCGTCTATTTTCTTTTCTTTGGAAGCGAAAAATACAACATTACATAAACGAGCAAAAATTTGCATATCTGTAGTAATTGGATTTTTTATTGAAAAAACGCAAATGCTAGAGTAGATTCTCTTGAAAAAAAAGTAGATAAAACGATTTTTTAAAAAATTGAGCTAAAAGAGCAGGTATTATGTACGAACTCAATATAAATATATGTCATTTCAAAGCTAGACAACAGATCCTTTTAGGTACGAAAAAGAGCTGAATACAGCGCGAAAGCTTGGTATACACAAAGGGGTTGTCCTAGGCGTCTTTGCAGGATTGAATGTCTTTCTCATGTTTGCTGCAATGGCCGTGTCATTTTGGTAGGTAAAATTCTAATTTGAAATAATTGCTTTAAATGTGAGTACATTTTCTCTTCAAGGTATGGAACAACCCTTGTCGTCAAGGGCGAGATAACTCCAGGAACTGTTTTCGCGGTATTCTGGTCTGTGCTGGTTGGTACACGACGATTAGGTGATGCCATCCCACAAATGGGAGCTATTCTTGGTGCTAGACTGGCAGCTGCTGACATATTTGCTGTTATAGACAGAGTAAGGCTGATTAGCGAATTAGATGTAATAAATCAATACAGACTGTCAAATTATCCCTTAGGTACCAGATATCGACAGCTCGAGAATGGAAGGATTTACTCCAGAAGAAATCACAGGGAGGCTTAGCTTCACCAATGTCCACTTCACTTATCCCTCCAGGCCTACAGTGAAAATTCTCAATGATGTTAGCTATGAGGTACGAACATGTAGGTCTTGGATTGAAAACTTCTGTCTTAGAGATAGTGATTTCGTAAAATTCGTCTGAAAGTAATTAGTCAATATATACAACATTTGAAGGATGAGATTTTCC